AGAGGCTGACCCAAGCCCTTAAGGAGGCGGACTACCTTAAGGCCCAGTTGGGCAAGACCGAGAAGGAGCTGGAATCGGCCCAAGTCCAGCTTGCCTCCACCCGGTCCGAGTTGGACCAGGAGAAGAAGGGCGTGGCCAAGTTGAGGGAGGACCACGCCATTGAGCTCTCTGGCACCGTCAGCCTGGAGCGCAAGAAGACTGTTCGGGAGTTCGTCTCTTCCAAACAGTTTGCCGAGGACGTCGCCCTCCTCAACCAGCCCATCGTCCAGGTCGGCTTCACGTGAGCCCTGGACCAGGTGAAGGGCCTCAACCTCCCTGGTTTCAACTTGGCGGACTTCAAGGACTACAACCCTGCGGCCGAGGAGAAGCTAGACTCGCTCTTCGACGGGTATTGCAAGGGGCATGCCCTGAAGGAGTTGGTAGGGAGGGGTGACATTGGGGCCGATCTGGCTGAGGTTCCTTTGGAGTAGGACGGGGCTCCCGGCAGAGCTTCCGGGAAGGAGCCAATGGCTTAGGGGCGTCTGGGTGACCGAGCTGTACTAAAGAGGCGCCGAGCCCTCCATCTGGGGTAGAGAGAAAGCATATCTTTCCCCAGTATAGAGGGTGCGGATATCTAGCATCACCAACTCTCCCAGTATATGAAACCTACTGTCGTGTTTTCCTCATGTCAGCAGTCATCTGTAAGGGAGGGGGTGTCTCCCTAACGACGGCGACCACTCCAGAAATCCTTTCCATCTTCCTTTTACAGCTCGGTAGGCTTGGTAACAGATGGGTTGCACTTCCTGAGGGTGGCGACCACTCCAGAAACCCTTTCCATTTTCCTTTTACAACTCGGTAGACCTTGTAACAGATAGGTTTTAAGTGTATATATGAAACAGTACTTAATGAAAAATTGCCTGATTCTGACTTTCAATCCTAGCTTGCGTCAAACACTAACGATCGAAAATCGCAGGCCGACCTCCCGGGTCAAGCACCAAAATAGGGCGATCAAAGTCGTAGGCCGACCTCCTGGGTCGAGCACCAAGCGGAGCAATTCAGGTCCTATGCCGACCTCTCGGGCCGAGCACCAAGCGGATCCACTAAGGCAGCGTGCCGACCTCTCGGGTCGAGCACTTATCGAGCCTTAGGTTAACAACCAAATCGTCGAGGACGACAGATTAGAATATTAACAAACTTTATTGAATTAATCCACGACGGTCCGACCTCATGGGTCTAACATCAAACGTCCAAGTTTCAAGCCACGCCGACCTCCTTGGTCGAGCGTCGGGTCTTAGGATTTCGAAACTTTCCGATTTTAACAAACTATATCGAACTTACTCGCAACGCGCCGACCTCTCGGGTCGAGCATCAAATTTTAAAGGCAACCACGCCGACCTCCTGGGTTGAGCGTCAAGCTCTCCAGTTTAACAAACTGTATCAACATAGTTTATGATTTGCCGGCCTCCTGGGCCGAACACCAGAATTTCAAGGAAGCCGATCTCCTGGGTCGAGCATCGATCCTTTGAACTTGCGAGCATCAAATTTTGAAGGCAATCACGCCGACCTCCTGGGTCGAGCATCGATCGTTCAAACTTTAAGGACTGCTTCGCCGACCTCCTGGGTCGAGCATCGATCCTCTGAACTTTAAGGAACAAGCTTAGTTTCATCCCTTACCCGAGGCCCCACTAGGACACTTAGCATTGGCTGAGTGTGCTAGTGTAGAATTGACAGGCAAGCTTTAAAAGGTAAATAGTATTGACAGCAATGAACTTATAACTTGAAAATTGAACATTCATTGAACAATAAATCTGTATGCGGATTCCAAAGAACAGACAGTAAGATACCCTAGCCCCCATCTAACCTACGAACAGACGCAGGTTGGAGAAGTGCCAAGTGCGGGGTATTTTTATTCCATCTAACTTCGCAAGCTTGCAGTAGCCAGCTCTGCTGGTTTCGAGGACTTTGTACGGCCCTTCCCAGACCGGGTCGAGCTTGTTTGAACCAATCGCTCGGCTGACCGAGTTCTTCCTTAAGACAAGGTCTCCCGAACGGTACTGTATGCTCCTCACCTTTGCGTTGTGATAGCGGGCGAGCTGGCTTTTATATCGAGCCATCCGTATTGCGGCTTCCTCGCGCTTTGTCTCCAGTGCATCCAAGTTAAACCTCAGCTCTTTTTCATTGGTCGTTGTAACGAAGTTCTGTGTCCGAGGTGATGGGAGGCCGACCTCTGCTGGTACCACCGCTTCTGCCCCATAAGTTAGGGAGAACGGAGTCTCGTGGGTGGCCGCCCTTGGCGTAGTGCGGTAAGCCCAGAGGACACTAGGGAGTTCCTCTAGCCAGTTAGATTGGGCCAGTTCCAACCCGGTCTTCAGTCCTTGTAGAATGGTTCGGTTGGCGTTCTCCACCTGGCCATTTGCCTGGGGGTAACCGACCGAGGTGAAATACTGGTTGATCCCGAGTTTTGCGCACCAGCTCCTAAAGGGGTTTTCGGCGAACTGGCGCCCATTATCGGATATCAAGACATGTGAAATACCGAAGCGGCAGACTATGTTCTTCCAGAAGAACTTCTGAACTGACTTCCCGAAGATAGTGGTCAGTGGCTCGGCCTCCATCCACTTAGTGAAATAGTCGATGGCCACTACGAGGTGTTCGTACCTTCCGGGAGCGGGGGAAAAGGGACCCAAAAGGTCTATCCCCCACTGGGCAAAGGGCCAAGGACTGTGGATGGGAACCATTTCCCGAGTGGGCTGGTGACGCAGCGGTGCGTGCACCTGGCAAACTCGACATTTCTGAACTAGGGCCGCGGCATCCCGAAACACAGACGGTCAATAGTAGCCAAGGAATAGGCACTTTTTAGCCAACACCCGGGATCCTACATGCGCCGCACATAAGCTCTCATGAATTTCGCGGAGGACGTAGTCGCCTTTCTCAGGAGTCACGCACTTTAGCCCGGGAGACAAATACGACCTCCTGTAGAGGGTCCCCCCAGCGTAGGCATACTTAGCAACTCTGAGTTGGAGTCGGCGAGTTTCGATTTTATTATTAGGGAAAGCACCAGAGCTGAGAAATTCCATGAAGGGAGTCATCCAGGAGGCCGGGCTGTCAATAGCCAAGACTTGGACCTGGTCAATGCTTTTGTGCTTGACTACTTCCACCAACACTTCCTTGCTCAGGTGAGCGAAAGAGGAGGACGCCAGTTTCAACAGAGCGTCCGCGCGCTTGTTCTGTGATTTCGGCAGCCGCTCGATCTCAAATGTATCGAACAGGGCTATCGCCTCCCGTACATTGGCTAAGTATTTATTCATGACGTCCTCCTTGGCCTCGTACTCCTCGCGAACTTGGAGGACTACGAGCTGAGAGTCGCTTCGGACCTTGATCGCGGCTATACCCATCTGGTGGGCTATTCGCAATCCCGTCAACAGGGCCTCATATTCCGCCTCGTTGTTGGAGGCCGGAAAGTCGAATCGGAGAGCATAGTTCAGCTCTTCCCCTGTGGGCGAGGTGAGCAGTAGGCCGGCTCCGCTTCCTTCCTTGCTAGACGCCCCGTCCACGAACAGGACCCACGGCTCTCCCGGCCGTGCCTCATTGGGCGGGGAGATCGGCTCAGTTGTGGCCAAGCTGGCCCCCTCAGCAAAGAAGTCTGCCAGGGCCTGGACTTTGATAGCGGTCCGAGGCCGATAGCAGATGTCGTGTTCGGCCAGCTCGACGTCCCAATTGGTCATCCTGCCCGAGACCTCAGGCTTGGTGAGTATCTGTCGCAGGGGCTGATCAGTCATGACGACGATGCCGTGGGTTTGGAAGTAAGGTCGGAGCTTACGTGCTGCATGTACCAAGGCGAGGACCAACTTTTCTGCTGGTGTGTACTACGTTTCTGGCCCTTGTAGAGCACGGCTGACGTAATATATTGGCCTCTGAGCTCCCCTGTCCTCCCGCACCAAAACCGCGTTAACGGCCTCATTGCAGGCGGACAAGTATAGGAACAGGGTCTCTCCCTGCTCCGGGGCGATCAAGGTGGGCAACTCAGCCAGATAGGCTTTCAGGTCGGCGAAAGCTGTTTGGCACTCCTCGATCCATTGAAAGTCCTTGGATGCTTTCAGGATTCGGAAGAAAGGTAACCCCCTCCCCGTGAGCCTATTTAGGGCTGCCATCCTCCCCGTGAGCCGCTGGACCTCCTTCACATTCCTCGGGGAAGCCATGTCCATGATTGCCTGGAGCTTATTCGGGTTGGCCCGGATCCACTCTCGGGACACCAAGAATTCTAGGAACCTTCCTGACCTAACCCCAAAGGTGCACTTCTTCGGGTTCAGTCGCATCCGGCTCTCCCATAGGATGTCCAAGATTTCCCTCAAGTCGGGGATGAGTTGCCGGTCAGTTCGGCTTTTGACGATCATGTCGCCCACGTAGACTTCAATGCTCCTGCCGATCTGATTCTGGAATAGTTTATTGACCAAGCGCTGGTAGGTAACTCCAGCGTTCTTTAGCCCGAATGACATGGTCCGGTAGCAGTAGATTCCTTCCTTCGTAATGAAGGAGGTCTTCTCCCGGTCTTTTTCGACCATCTCTATCTGGTGGTATCCCTTGAATGCATCCAGAAAACACAAAACGTCAAAACCCACCGTAGAGTCTACTAACCTGTCGATCCTTGGCAAAGGAAAGCAGTCCTTCGTGCAGGCTTTGTTGAGATCCGTGAAATCCACGCACATTCTCCAGGTCTGATCCTTTTTCTTAACCAGTACCGGATTGGCTAACCAGGTCGGGTAGTGTACCTCTAGGATGATCTTGGATTCAAACAGCTTGCCGACCTCCTTCTTGATCACCTCATTCCTTTTTGGGGTGAAACTCCTCTTCTTCTGCTTCACCGGCTTGAAGCGAGGGTCCACCTTGAGGTGGTGGACGGCCAGGTCGGTTGGGATCCCAAGCATATCCTCAACCGTCCACGCGAAAATCTGGGAGTATTCCCTTAACAGGGCCTTCAAACCCTCCTTCTCCTCAGAAGGCAGCAGCGCACCGATGCGGAGGACCTAGTCGGGCCGGTCCTGCCTCAAGGGGAACTCCTCGATATCGTTCTGGGTGCCCAACTGCCGTGCTTCGTCCCCCGGGATGTAAGGCTCCAAACTGGTCGTTTGGGAGACCACCTTCTCCTGTTCCCGGAGTAAGGTTAGGTAGTAAGTTCTGGCCACTTCTGGATCCCCATGCACCTCAGCGATCCCTCCCGGTGTGAAAAATTTTACGCTAAAGTGGAGAGAAGAGGGAATAACTCGGAGGGCGTTCAAAGAGGGCCGCCCCAAGAACACGTTGTACGGGGACGGCTGTTTGACCACCACGAAATTGACTGGGATGGTCCGACACTTGGGCGCCTGCCCTATCGTGGCCATCAGGGTGATCATCCCCTCCGGGTTGATGGGCGGTCCGGTGAAGTCCACCAAGGGTATCCGAACTGGCGTTAACTGCCCATCCTCCAAGCCGAGCTCCTTGAACACCCGGTAGAACATAATGTCAACCGCACTTCCCTGGTCGAGGTACACCTTCTTCACCCGATAGTTGTTGGTTGCAACATCTATCACGATGGCCGCGTGGTTCCCTGACGCTAGGAGAACCGCGTCCCTTGGTCCGAAGGTGATCTCCTCGTCCATGCGCAGGCGTTTTAGGGAGTCATCCCCCTAGGGGAGAGGTCATTTGTTCTTCCGAGCTGCATGGCTATCCCCCCCGTGGGACCCCCAACAATGGTGTTTATCACCCCTGCTAAGTTCTGGGTGTCCAGGTCGAGGTAGTTGTCCCGAGGAACGTCGCGATCGCGCTCAGGGCGGTCGCGACGCTGGCCCTCGCCCCTATCCCCGCGGTAGATGCGTCCTAACTCCCGACCTGGTCGACCTTGCTGCACGAATCGTCCCAAGAAGCCGCGCTGGATCAGATCCTCAATCTCCCTCCGCAGGGCCCAGCACCCCTCCATATCATGCCCAACATCACGGTGGAAGGCACAGTATCGGTCTTGGTTCCTTTTGTTCCGGGGTGTCCCCATCTTAGGCGGCCGTCCTCCTAGGCCCTCCACCTCCATAACGGCCAGGATTTGGGCCCTGGACCGAGTCAGGGGGGTGTATCCCTTATCCGGAAGTGGCGGTTGTGCGGGAGCTTTCTCCTTGGAGAGACGGTAAAAAACGTTCTTCTTGGTCGGACCATCCTTGCTTTCGGGGAGGTGCCCCCGTCCCCTCCGATCTCCGAGCTCCCGATCCGACTCCTTCTTCAGACGAGCAGCCTCCTCTCCTTTAGCGGCTGCGTGCGCCCTGGTCAGGAGCTCCTCCAGGTCTTCAGGGGATTTCTCGGCTAACTTGTAGAAGAGTTCCTCCACCCTGAGTCCGTTCATGAAAGCGGCCATCACCACCTTTTCATCCTTGTCTCAGATTTGCAGGCTTTCCGTGTTGAAGCGGGACATAAAATTCCTCAGTGACTCATCCGGCTTCTGCCTGATTGACATCAGGTAAGTCGCATTCTTCGAATAGATCTTCGAAGAGATGAATTGGGCGACGAACTGCCTGACCAGTTCGGGGAAATTTCGGATAGACCCCGGTGCCAGACCCTGGAACCAGAGCCGGGCCCTTCCCTTCAGAAACATGGGGAAGGTCTTGCAACGGATCGCGTCCGCGGCTGTTTGCAGACGTATGTGCATCAGAAAGACCGAGAGGTGGTCTTCCGGGTCGGTAGAAGCGTCGTAAAACTCGATGTTCGGGATTTTGAACCTCCGGGGTAGTGGGTGATCCTCTATCTCCCGGGTAAAGGGCGATGTGGTATAGTTGTCCTCATACAACTGCGGCCACAAGATATGCTCGAACTCGTCTCGAACCGGCTTCCACGGGGCAGGTTACGAGGCCGGCTCTTAACAGATCGGTCAGGGGAGCGTTCAAGCCCGTTTCGCGCGGGCTTCCGCGGTGAGAGGTCTCTTGGTCGGTTCCCAGCGGACCGGTCGCGGGAGCACCTCTCGCTATCCCCGACCACCGAAACTCGGGGTCGAGTGGGAGTCCGTGGCCGTTTCCTCCTGGGGGGCTGGTCCCGTGACTCATCCTCCGAGGGGTCGGAAGGTGATTCCTTCTCCTTCCCCTTCGCCTTGGAGGTCTGGGCACCTCCGGCTTCGCTCCCTTCCTTCGCCTGCCGGATTATGTCTTCCAGCATGAGGAGGTTCTCCGTCACGAACTGGAGAATCTGCTGTCTCCGTTCTCCTGAGAGGTCTGAGCCCCCGGCGTCATGAGCCGCCTCTGTCTCCTTTCTCCGGGACCCCTCGCCGGCTCCAGGATCGGTGGTCTCCATGGTTCGCTTAGAACGCGTCCTTGCCATCAACACAATTGCACTAACCTTTCGTTCCCACAGACGGCGCCAATTGAAGAAGCGCAGAGCTTCCCCAGACCGAACTGACCTGATGAGCTCGGCGTGCTGATGAGAGGAGCGGGTCCCAAGCCTGCAAAGCAAACAAGTGAGTGGCCTGACAGGGGAGCCCCGAGGTTGTCCCCGAGGGCACTCCGACGGTCAAGTTAACTTTCCGGTGAGTGTGGTTCACGGGAAATAAAGCAGTCGGGAGTAAATTTACCAATGGTGAGCGTACCTTGCGTAGTTGGCGTGTGTTACCATTTATACCTGTCCGAGAACCCGACCTCCGTACGTTTCGGAACTTGCCCAGTGTAGCCACAATCCCGCGCTGAAGAGGATTCTCCCCGCCTTCTGCGGGATTGCTTCCCGGAGCCCTTCGGAGCTCTAGTGGCGGTGTGCCTCAGGACGGTTGTCAAAGGCCTGGGGTCCAACCCCAGTCCTGACCGACCTGGGCTGCCACGTGTCTAGGCCCAGGACGGGACCTCTGTAATACCAAAAAATCATCAAGAGAAACTTGATGCTGTCCATGGTCAAACATCTACCCAGCTGCATGTGGAAGGAACGTTTGACGAAGTTTCGGTGGCTGTTGCTAACTCGCATGAAGATCCTCAGCCCACTGTTGGGTTGGTCAATGCTGTCTCTGATGATAAATCTGTCCAGGTGACAGAAGGAGGAAAGCTTGTTGTAGTTCTCTCCGCTGCCGCTAATTCACAAGAAGATCCTAAGGCCACTAATGGGTTGGCCAACTCTGTTGGAACTAGGGAAATAGAACAGACTTCTGTGGAAGCATGCGAAGACAGTGGATGCGTCAACACGTTGCCGCAGTCACCTGTTGTGAGTAGGACTGCTGTGCGTTCTTCATCCTTGGAGTGTAAGGGGGATGGTGAGTTGCCAATTTGTGCTGAAAATCTGTCCACACAAATGGCCAATCTACCTGAAAGGCAAGATCATACGTTGATGGCCCTTAATATTGACCAAGCCGTGGAGGTGGAGGAGGAGTTTGTGCGGTTGAAAAAAAGTATGCGTACTAAATTCCCTTCAGATAGACAAATTCGCTCTGCAACATCTTCTCAAAATATATTTAAAGGTTTGGATCATGATTAATGCCATGTTCTAAAATATTAGAGGAGTCTCGAAAGCTCCAAATTTTAGAAGATTGCGTAGATTAATTCGTTTGCATAGAATTCAGTTCCTTGTCATTTGTGAACCTAAACTAGATATTTCCAAGGTTCAAAATCTTAGGTTGCAAATTGCTTTTGATTATGTGTTGGTCAATAGCTCCGCTGATTTATGGATTTTTTATAAATCGCCGTTTGCTTGTTCGTTAATTGGGTTCTCTGACCAACATATTACGTTAGATGTACACCATCCATTTTTGCCTTGCCCTTTAGTGATTTCTTGGGTCCATGCGGGATGCTCTTTGGGGGCTCGTAAGGAATTATGGAGACAGTTGTTAGGTAACAAGCCTCAGATTCGGCCATGGTGTATCGCCGGGGATTTCAACGTCATCATAGTGTCGTCCGAAAAGCGAGGGGGCGTCCTTTCATGGCTGTTGAAGGAGTGGATTATATGACATTCATGGAAGAAGCCAAAGTTTTGATGCAGGATTTTCGGGTTCCTCCTTTACTTGGTGTAACAACAAGCGAGGAAGAGCTCGGATATGGAAACGACTAGATCGTTTTCTAGTCAATGGTGAATTTTTAGATCTATCAACTTCCACATCGGTTGTCCATTTGGCTAGACATCCGTCTGATCATGCACCTCTGAAAATCAAATTTGCCCCTCGCCATGATACTAAACCACGTCCTTTTCGATTCTTGAAGTTTGGACGAGAAAATCCTCATTGTTGGAAACAATCCATTGTTGGAAACAATCCACAATGCATGGGACACGCCCATCAATGGTTCCCCTTGGCGGGTGTTATGTGTCAAACTCCTAGCCACGCGAAGAGCTATCTAGCAATGGAATAAATCCTCCTTTGGGGATATTTTTGAGTCTGTTAAAGGCGCAGAGTTTCAAATGGCACAGGCAGAATTGCAGGCAGAGAGTGATGACTCGGACGGGGCTCAGATTGAGCTACAAAGGGTTCAGGCAGAGTATCGGCATGCGCTGGCTATAGAGGAGAAATTTTGGAGGCAAAAAACTTGACGAGTTTTTAATATACGTACAAGTTAAAAAAATCCGATTTACACCCGTTTCACTGCAAGTATACAGGTCAACTAGTAGTTTAAGGTATATATCTGGTTAATCCCACGAGAAAAATTGAACAATTACCGGCACTACTGAAGCTTCTCTATTATTTAGACTATCAATGAATTATAACAAGTTCAACCTACTAAACTTATACAAAATAACAAATGAAAGTTGCTTAGGTTATGGTATCCCTAACTACTCATGCAAGTGATATATTTGGATCATTGAATACTACAATCTAAGTTAGTTATGGTGTAATTTCCTTATGCATTTGAATCCTACTTTCGTAGTGAATCAATTATACTCATAACTAATCCATACCTATTCTCATGGTTATGAAATTAGTTACAAGTTCATTTCTTCAATGAAATGACATGAAATTAATCACCAAAATCACATAGGTATACCTCTACTCTCGTGAGTGTACTTCCTATGTTTAGCACTTCTTGAACTAGTGTTGCAGAAATAACACCTTAGATAATCACAATCAATGGTACCAGATTAATCATGATTTAAAGAGTTAAAGTGCTAACTAACTTGCTCAAATAATAGCAATCAAATAGCCAAATAATAAACACTAACAATCATAGGAAGTTCAACCAAACCCAAGGCATAAACTTTAGAAACACATAATAACATATAAATCCAGAACTTGCATATTAACTAAACTAGGAATCAAGTACAAAAGATAAAAAGTTGGAAAGGAATGTAACCCTTGTCACATGAGTTCATCTCCTTGCTTTCTTCATCCTCCAACCTCTTCTTCATCTAGCTAATAAACAGGAAGGATAAACTAACTAGCTAAACTATTCTACACTAAGGAAATGGAAGAACTACATATTTGCACTCTTCAAGCTTCTCCCGTATGATAATGTCAGACCTCCCCAAATGTCTCTGCATAAAAACTAGTCCAAAACTCTTTTTTCTTGGTCAAATTTTCCACCCTTTGATTCCCAAATCTGAAATTTGTTAAGATAGTCAATAACCAATTTTTTGGACTTGAAAATAAGCCACCTTTCTTGCCCTTTTGTCTTCTGAAGTATGTGCACCGAATTCCCTTGCAACTTATAGCTGGAAAGTAGTC